GCCGGCAGTGCTCGCATGGGGAGGCGTGGGGATGAGAGCAGGGCGCCGGCAGTGCTCGCATGGGGAGGCGTGGGGATGAGAACAGGAGGCCAGACCCTGTGGGACCTGGCTTCTTTTCTGAGTGAGAAGGGTGACACTGGCAAGCTTTGAGAAGAACCGTGACACGCGCTGTCAAATAAGCACTCTATCTTCTAAGTGGAAAGTAGATTATTTGAGGACAAGAAGGGAGGCAAGGAAAGTACTTAAGAAGCTATCACTACAATCCAGGGTGCTGGCCTGGACTGGGGTGGTGGCAGTAGAGGTATTGAGAAATGGTCAGTTCTGGGTATAGACTGAAGGTAGAGTTGACAGGCCCTCCTACTGGAGTCCTACTGGACTACACACAGATGGAAGAGAAAGAGATCAAAGACGACTTGGAGGTTTTTGGCCCAATCCACTGAAAGAACGGGGCTGCCATTTTCTCCAGTGGGGAAGACTGTAGAAGAAACAGGCTTGGCAAATGGAGAGGTCCGTTTGGGGGCATATTCACTGCTGTGGAGATATCTAGTAAGCAGTTGAATATATGAGTCTGGAATATAGGGGAGAGGTCCATGTATAGGTACAAATGTGTAAATAGTCCTAATATAGTTGGTTTTAAAATCTGTGAGGCTGGACAAGATTGCTTGGGAAAGTGAGAAGCCCAAGGACTGAGCCCGAGAGAGTCCAGCACTGAGAAGTGGTCATGATGGGAAGGACTAGTGAAGGAGACTGAAATGACTCTATAAAACCATCAACAGGATTATGGAGGAAAATCTGAACAAGCGTGGCCATTGTATTTGGTCCACTTACCACACAGTAGCGGTCACATCTTCAATATTTCTTCCCCACAAAATGTTGTTTAGAAATTTTATTGGACAGTGTCCTGAACTCTGACAAGTCTCAAAACCTCTCTGGAACCCATTTAATTCTTCCAGCAGCTTTAGGAAGTAGATACAAATTAAGAGAACTAAGACTCAGAAGGGCTTGTACAAAGTTACAAAATAATACAAGGGGAGGAGCAGGGATTCCAACTCACTCTGAATAATGTGACCAAATGGCTCTTATTTATTGAGTGCTTAATATGTTCCGGGCACTGAGCAGGTATTATTTTAATTAGTTCTCACAACAACCCAACAGGGTATATACTAATATTACTCGGATGAGGAAACTGAGGCTCAGAGAAGTTAATTAACTAAGCCAAGGCTCACAGCTGCTAAGTATCAAAGCTGGGGTTAAATTCCGTATCTGCCTAAAAGAGGCCCTTCTGTCCTAACAGCTACAGCACGTGGTGATCTTACCATCAGAATCGTTCCTTTGCTCCCCGACTTGTATCCCCCACTTCCTGTGCCTCATCTCTTTCTAGAATGATATTGCTCCAGCTACAAAGGCCACTCTGATGGTCACCCAGTGAAAACCACAGAACAGCCAACCCAAAATGGCCCCCAAAAAACCAACCCAGGTCTTATAGCATTTCCTACCTCAGGGGAGTATTTGAAAAGGTCCTGAACAGCAAGCTTAGCAGTCTGTCTACTGCTTTTGTACGTGTCTGATGTGTGTGTTTCCCTTCTCTTGGGCAAAGTCAGAGTTGCAGGAAGAAGGTGAGACATCGACATCAGCCTGTTATTTAAACCGTCAACAACAGGGACGGAGCTTGTTCCTGGCAATAAGAGAAAAAGATTTTATTCCTTAGTAAAAGTAGCAACCCATATGTACGGGTCTTGGGAAAATGAAAATAGAAAATTACAAGTTTGGGATTCAAGCTGAGGTTTCCCCATTCTCTAACAGTGTGGCCCTGGAGCCTTAACTACTTTGAGTTCTTTGTTTCTTTATCCGTAAAATGGGTTTAAAAATATCTGCCTTGATCTACTCCAAAGAGGTCAAATGAGAAATTGAATATGAAAGTGCTTTATAAACTGCAAAGTGCAGATGTCATGTGTTCTTGGTGCTGTTGTTTTTGTCTCATTGTGGAGTCACCCACGTACACTCTGGGGTGGTTCAGGACTCTATCAAAAACCAGACGGGAAATGAGAATAGTTGGAGATAGAAGGATGGGGACTCAGAGACAAAAAGATGAAGAAATGGAATCAGGGAGACAGAAGAGGAGAGGAAAGAAGAGAGGACAGGAGATAAGAGGAGCGGAGAGGAGAGGGGAGGAGAGGGGAAGAAAACCCACTTGATCTGAGCATCACTAAGAGCCTCAATTCCAGTGCTTCTACACGTCCTTGACTTTGGCCTCTGGTAACTTGCAGGGTTGTATTATGTTCTCTTTGTTGCTACCCTTGTTTTCAATACCTGTCAACAAAGTGTTTGATAAAGGCATTCACATGAAGTCAGGTAGTATTTAGAACTGATAGCTTAATGTGACAACTGTTATAGTTATAACTGTTTCAGGGAAGGGTAAAGATGTGAGTGTGTGTGTTTGTGTGTGTATATGCATGTGTTTATGTGTGTGTGTTTTCGAATCTCTACTTGTGGAGTTGCAGGCATCAGGTCATCAAGGTTGAGATTAGCAGAGGGAGTGAAGATAGTTCTAGAACCCCGAATTTGTTCCTGTTGATCAGCACTGATGTCTTCTTTATAACTGAATTTTTCTAAGGAATATGTCATGAGACCAATGCCAAGGATTCCTCTCTAAACATCCTTTACTTCTGTGAAAAAATCCATTAAATAAGGAAAGAGAAGGGCTGCTTTCTGTGGTCTCTTATGAAGTTGGGATCAAAATGATGCTTAAGTACACATCCTACAAAGATACCCAGTCTCTTGCCCTAAAACTACCACTGAAATCATGTTTGCTTTCTTGCTCCCTCTCTGTTTCCATATCAGAAAATATGCTCTTAACTCCTAGCAGCCCCTCCTTCTCTCTGACTTTTAATCTTGTTTAGATGGAAAGATAACCCAGCAATGCCTGCAGGGTTGACATATGAAGGAGTCTCCAAAGAGCCCCTGAAATACTCTGGAGGGAGCGCAGCTCAGAGCACAGTGCTTCATGCCTTTGATGAGTTCTTAGGCATTCGTCATAGCAAGGAAAGTGGTAAGTCAGACATTTTTCTTTTCCTTGTTTTTCCTTAATAAGGAGAAAGCACAGAGGTGTTTTTACCAATTGATAAAACCAAGTATAAATTAAAATGTCATGAAATTTGTACTTCTCCAAGTCTACCAGGAAACTGTGTGTCTGCCATATGTTATTGAGTCAAGTCAATTAATATCGGATCTCAGCAGGATATTCGGTTTCATTTCCAAATTTTAAAACATTGCTCTATTTCCAACTGGTCACTGTAATTTTGTTTGGCAGTAGCTCCTTTCTCTAAAATGAGGGAGAGATACAGTGTTGAAGGCAATGGCATTATGTTGATAATTCTGGGTGTAGCTGGTGATGAGTCTGAGCCCCTCCACTAAAGCCCTTCCGCATAAAAGTGGTGCAACCTCAGGCCAAGTCTATTTAGACCAGAAGAGGGGTCTACCATTCTAGAAGCTTGAAATTGCTCATTTCCTTACCTGCCAGCATCAAGTCAAATGTTCCACAGCTGCAAAAAGGCACTTCATAGTGCAGAGTTTTTGAGTAGGAAAAAAATGACTACAACTTGGTGTCATAGGGTCGTCTCATCCACAAAAGTCCCCATTCTCTAGAACTATGATAATCGTTCATGGATTTTTGATGTTGGTAGTTGACTTACCATGCATAATGTTAAATACAGAAAAGATTTTCTACAAATGATCTATCTATCTATATTTCCTATAAATATCTACTGATTTGATTCTTAAACAACTTGACTTCAAGAAGCTATTGCTGAACTTGTTGCTCATTCTTTATCTTTTTGCCCTTATAAACTTTATAACTTTCTTCTTCTTAGCACTCCCTCCAAAACAAAGCACTCAGGAAACAAAATTCAGCAGAGTATTAGCTAATCAGTTTAAAGGCTTATAAGCCTTACCTTTGTGGATATCCCTCATGGTAGCTAGCAAGATACTTTGTCCACATTTGATATGTGATATATATTTATACACTGACTGATAGATCTAGTTGCAGCTCAAATGAGGTGTGCTTGCTTCTTTTCCCCTTCCCATCTCCTATCAACTGTCAAGAATGTGCATTTGAGTATTTGGAGTTTACAAGCAAAAGAGCTAGCAAAGTAGCTTGGACTGTTAGGACAGTAGGTTGGACAGCAACAGTTTTTGCTGCATCGCTATCTGGAAACACAGGCAGGCTCTCTTATCTTTCCATGTGGAGCTATGACATTGTTCTGGATTGTTTCTTTCAGCTGATTTTCTACACAGCATGAGGGACTACATGCCTCCTTCCCATAAGGCCTTCATAGAAGAAATCCGCTCAGCTCCTCCCCTGAGGGACTCTGTCCTGTCCTCTGGAAATAGCCAACTTCTGACGGCCTATAACCAGTGTACGGAGGTGCTGGCAGAGCTGTGCAGCTATCACATCACCATAGTGGCCAAATACCTCATCACAGCTGCAGCCAAAGCGAAGAGCAGGACACCAAGCCATCTCCCGGGCCCCCCAGGCCTCAGAACAGAGGGGCACGGGTGGAACTTCAGTGCTGAGGTTCCTGAAGAGCGTCAGGGATAAAACGTTAGAGGCCATCCTCCACCAGCGTGGTTAAGAGACTGTGCTCTCCCCAGCAATGCAAAACCAGCAAACGCACTTTCCCTCACCCTCTGCCCCACTGGAGGGCAGGTGGGCCTGGAGAATGAGGGTCTGAGTTCTGTCTGGAATCGTCTGAAAGAGACCGCAGCCCTGTTCACGTTCATGCTCTGTAGAACACCATCTTCTCCTTTGTTGAGAGCTATTAGTCTTCACAGAGAATTTTCATGGCCAGAAACTTTCCTTTCCCTGCCTGATTGTTGGTTAATAGCAAAGAGCTTTGGGCACGCTCCCTTTCAGAACCCCACAGAGCAGCGAGTGTACCCCTATTCTCTTTACAAAGTGATAGAAAAGCACTCTAAGTTTCAAGAACCAAATAAAATTGCTTGTGGACAGATCACTTTGTTGATTTCTTGAAAAAACAACCTAAATATTCATGCATTCATTCATTCACTTAACTTATTAGGTTCCCACTAAGTACTGGTGTGGGGATTAGAACAGGGATTTCTGTGGCCCGGTCCAGCCCTCTTCTCCCTGCACGTGTTGAATTTGGTGGCAGGAGGTTGGAAATGCTCCAGGGGAGATGTGGAGGAAAGAGCAGGCTGACAATAAGACTGGGAAGTCACCAGTATGAAAATGAATAGTTAATGATTTGGAAACAGATGAGACTTTTCCACATGGTTTATAAATTTGTAAATTCTATTTTAATTTCCTTCTTTATTTTTAAAAGAATGATTCTTTCTCCTTACACTGGAAATCTGTATTTGTAAAATGAATTAATTGACCCTTTGGAAGTAAATGAGCAAAATAGAAATAAAGAGTAAATCCACATGTTTAATGTGCAAATAAATGTAACTCTTTATTGACTTAGTTTCTATCTCAAGGTCTCAATCCATCTGACAGTAGAAAGCTAGAAAACTTTAATCTTGCCAATTTAGGGTAAACTCCATTAATTTGGGGTTGCCTCCCACTGTGCACACACACGTGTACCTGGGATAGTATCTAAATTCCAGAGGGCTGATCTAGTATCTCAGCATCAGCAAGAGGCACCTGATCTTCGGGTGAGTTAGCATCTACTAAGCAGTCCCCCTCCCCAAATGGGTGCAGAGCAGCTGGAGCTTGTGGCATGTCTCATCCTGTCTAAGAGGCCTTCCAGATTGCTCAGCCCTCAAGGTCCTATCACACCCCTTGGAAAAGCGTTTGACTACTTCCCGAATTCCCCAGGAGCACTGCGGGACTGGCTCAGAGCATTTGCCCAGCACCACAGCAACCATGTCCACTCTCCAGAGCCACGGTGGAGGGGATTACTGGACTCTTGTCAATTCTCAGGGCCCTTGCTAAGAAGCCATGAACCAGTATATACCAACTTGGGGTCCCAGGAGGGCTCCTACTGCCCCACATCCTCTGGGGGCTTGGTCTGACGAAAAAAATGGAAGGTGGGACATGACAGGGCTGAGAGCTTCCAAGCAGGGTGGGCCAAGAGAAAACCCTGATCTGACAGCGTCCTCTCTGCCTCTCTTTAGGTCAGAGTCTCATAACTCAAAAGACTGAGCTCTCATGATTCAAAAAGCCTTTTCTCTCCATATGCTATCCTTGTCTTGTGCTTGAAAAGTCTACTATGAAACTCAAAAAATGAGCATGGATATAATTTTTCTCATTGATTTGCTTTTCTAACTGCCCTGCCTTGGTATCAATAAACCCCGACTGTCTTACCTGCTGGTGAGATTCATCACCCCTTTTCAACATCATTCTCGGTGAAAACAATGCGACCTTTAAAATATGTTTGCATTCTGCATTTGTTTTCCAACAATGTGGCTTTTGACCAATTTCAGAAAGTCACTCATCCTCGGCTTCCTATTTCTTGTAAAATCAGATCATCAGACTGGCCTCAGGGTGGACATCAGTTCTGGAAGGGATAGTGCTCGGCATGCAGGGAAAAACAATGAAAGTGTATTTGGCGGTGAGGTGGGCTCAGAACACAGAGTAGATACCAGTTCAGGAGAGACCACTGGATTCCTTAGGCTTCTTGGATTCACGGAGTCTGCACAGCAATAAAATTACCATTTATTATTTATCATTTGGAGATGCTAGAAAGTAGAAAGTGACAAAAGCATAGGCTTAAAGAGCCAAAAGACCTGGGTTTGTTTTTCAGCTTTGGCATATTTTATAATGACAAATTATTTAATCTTTCAGAGTCACAGTTTACTCGCTTGTAAAAGGAGGAACATGGTGATTACTATGTTGCTGCGCTGATACATAGGATGAGTAACTAAATGGTACGTATTATACTTTTATTATAGCATATAAGGCCTTGAACCGGAGCGACCCTTGTCTAGTTCCTGAGAACCAGAAGGGAAGTTGGAACTGGCTGTCTATATCCCTGTACTTGGTAAAGAAAAGAGACAACATGACCTCAAAACAAGCAAGCAAAGTGAGACAGAACCTGGATTTTTCTTGAAATAATGTGGGCACATGGGAGAAGTAATGTTAAGGACGTTTGAGAACTTAAGGAAGGATGCCAGCCAGTGTAGGTTTTAACTCTAGGTCTGCACCAAATAGGGCCCTGATTTGTCCCTTACAGTGATGAGATTAACAAAGAATCATCTTAATTGGAATACTTGCAACTGATCCAAGTCCGTTTTTGGATCACAGAGCCTGATTCAGAGCAGGTTTTTTCAATAAATGCTGAATAATTGGAAAACCAGAGAGATTAAATAGGGTGGGAAGGGAAGTTTACAAAGTTTTGCCTTTCAAAGCTTTTAGAATATGTTTTATTGTCATTACACAAGGGTGAAATAAATGCAAACCAAAGTATTTCCTTTGCCGATGAACCAACTGCTAATCCACGTGTCAAGGTTTGATTTCTTGGGTCAGAGAGTTCCATTTTCAGCTTTGATACAATGGTGAAAGTAAAGCTTCTGGTACAGAAGAAAACACATTTTTTTCAAGATTTCTAGTTGAAAAAAATGACTATCAGTGAAAAAAATGCCTAATGGTAGAAATAATTTTATCATCATCATTATTATTATGGGAAGAGGTTACTGCAAGCTTGAAGAAATGGCAAACGCGTAGGCTCAGAAACCAGACAATTGCAGGTTTGAATCCTCACTCTGCTATTTACTGACAAGGTAAACTCTTCACTTGCTTAATATTTCTGAGTCATAGTAATCACATGTGTAAATGAGGACGGTAATAGCTACCTTGCAGTGCTTTTGTGAAAAGTAAAGCTAATATATATCTGTTAGATGCCAGGCCCTGAGTGAATGGTATTACTACGACAGTGTTGAATGTTCCCTGACTACCCCTTGATCTGGACAAGAAGACAAGCATGGGGAAAAGAAGCAGTGCGGGGAGAGGGAAGCTTGCGCTCCCAACTCTGTGAGTTCCCAGGAGACTGGAGAGGAGGCCCAACAGACGTGTGGTCAGGAGGGGCTGCGGAAACCATCCTCTTGGAGCACGTGCAGAGGCACGGGTGTCTGTATATGGGCGTCAGAATTGAGACCGAGAACAGAGAGACTGCTGAATCAGCCCAGGGCCAGGCCCCAGCACAGGTGCACCATGCTCCAGGATTTGTAGGTTTTGTTTCATAAGGATGAGAACCAAGAAAGATGTTGTCACAGGATTATATTTTAAATTCATCCAGGTATAATCAAAACCAATTGTAGTGTCTAACAGTAGTTTTTTTGTAACTGTAGACTAAGTCAACACCTAAATTGAGTGGAATAGAGGCGCGATCTACAAATTCTTGCCTTCAAACAATAGTTGCCTTCGGGATCCTCACCTTCACTGCCATCGAGTAAAGTGGAGGTGGAGGGAAATTCACATTTCTTCCTGTCTGAGGGAGCTTGCATTTTCGATTACTGTAGAGAGCCAGTCCTGCAAATAGCTGGAGTATGTACCACTTGTGCGTTCAATTTGAAGTTTCACTAAATTATGCTAACTCATAGATTCCTCCCTCGATGCCTTATAATTATTTGAGGTTCCTTAATTAGACCCTTGTATTATATTAGTTAAGGTTCTCCAGAGAAACAGAACACCATCTATATCTATAACTAGATCTAGATCTAGATTTAGATGTATTTTTTTAAGCTTTATAGTACAGTGGTGAAAGTAAAGCTTCCAGTACAGAAGAGAACACGTTTTTCTCAAGATTTCTAGGGATAAAGAGTATTGGCATCAGTGAAAAAATGACTATCTAATGGTAGAAATAATTTTATTTTTATTATTATGTGCAAATGCTACTGCAAGCTTGAAGAAATGGCAAAAGTGTAGGCTTAGAAACTCTGCATATGTCTCTATATATCTCAGCTGGAGACTGGGGGAGGAGCTAATGCTGTGGTTCAAGTCTGAAGGCTGACCACTGGTAGAATTCATCCTTGCTCAGGGGGGGTCAGTCTTTGTTCTACTCAGGTCTTCAAGTGGTTGGATGAGGCTCACCCACATTATGGAGAGCAATCTGCTTTGCCCAAAGTCCACCAGTTTAAATGTTCATCTTCTCCAAAAAAATACCCTCACGGAAACATCCAGAATAATGTTTGACCAAATATCTGGGCGTCATGGCCCAGCCGAAGTGACATATAAAATTAGCCATCACAAGTCTCCTTGAGAAGACTCTGAATGAGGATAGTTGTGGGGTCTGACATACACTCCCCCCACACTATTACAGAAGAAGAATCTTCTTTTGTAATGATGGAGAGGAAGTAAAACAGGGTGCCGAGTATCACTATCCCTTAAGAGGTGCCAGGAAGGGATGGGCAGTGGATTGGACAGAAGCTGCTAGGGAGAAGCAGAGAACACAACCCCAAAAAACCCGACTTACTTTACAACTAAAGGCTCCCTATGCTGGGTTATCCACGTGGAACGAAACCACTGTCTCTCTTACTAAAAATAAAACCCACTGCTCCAAGGTTGAGAATGTAGGGGAAATCTTCACCTGGGAAGAGGAAACCAGACCTTGAAGTCTTAAGCCTTGTACATAAGGTTCACCTTCACTTTGGCTGCCCCCACCACCTACCACTGCTGGTGACAAAGCAGCACTGATTCCTTTTCATCTGGTGCCCACGTCCAGCTAACATTAGTTTGGTAATTTTTAGGAGACATTA